CATGGAGCCAGCCTGGAAATATCAAAGGATCAGCCCACAGTGCCTCTGCCAGCCAAAATGGGCTGTGTATGGCCCCCTGTGGCTCATTTTTGGCCTCCAGCAGCTATCTGCTGCTCAAAAATCAACTGTGCAGAGGCCTCCGCATGGCCAGTTTTTGGCCAGCAGAGTACTGCTGGTGGTTTGGGAGGCTGAAAATGGGCCGTGCATGGGCCCAGGAGGTCTCCACATGCCCTGTTTTTGGCCGGCAGAGTGCTGCTGAAGGCTGGGGAGGCCAAAAAAGGGCCACACAGGGGCCACATGGGGACTCCACATAGTCCATTGTTGGCTGGCAGTGTGGAAACCATGGAGGGCAAAAATGAGCCACAGGGTGGCCCCCCATGCTCCATTTTGGTTGGTAAAGTGCTACAGGAGGCTATTCAGGCCAAAAACAGGGCAGAGGGGGCCGCCCACAGCCCCCCACTCCATTTTGGCCAGCATCTGTCCCATCTCCCCCCACCTCTCCCCCCCACCAGCCCATGGAGAACTACAATGCTGATCCGGCCCTCAAAGAAATCCAGTTTGACATCCTGTTGTAGAATAACGACAGCTTCCCCAGTACCTGGATGAAGCTGTCTATTTAGATCCACTCCAGTCCGGTTTCAGACCTGGGTACAGCACGGAAACGGCATTGGTCGTGTTGGTGAATGATCTCTGGAGGGCTCGGGGTAGGGGTTATTCCTCTATCCTGGTCCTGTTAGATCTCTCAGCGGCTTTTGATACCATCGACCATGGTATCATGTTGCACCAGCTGGAGGGACTGGGAGTGGGGGGGAGCACCGTCTTGTGGTGGTTCTCCTCCTATCTCTCCGACCGGTTGCAATCTGTGTTGACAGGGGGGCAGTGGTCGACCCCAAGGCGCCTTGTTTGTGGGGTGCCACAAGGGTCGGTCCTCTCGCCCCTCCTGTTCAACATTTATGTGAAGCCGCTGGGTGAGATCATCCGTGGTTTTGGGGTGGAGTTCCATCAGTACACTGATGATACTCAGCTGTACATCTCCACCCCAGACCATCCCAACGATGCCTTGGAAGTGATGTCCCAGTGCCTGGAGGCCGTGCGGGCCTGGATGGGGAGAAACAGGCTTCGACTCAACCCTTCCAAGACCGAGTGGCTGTGGCTGCTGGCGTCCCGGTATAGCCAGCTGGCAGCATCGCTGGTTATTGGGGGCAAATCATTGGCCCCCACAGAACGGGCTCACAACTTGGGCATCCTCCTGGATGCACAGCTGTCTTTAGAAGAGCACATGATGGCCGTGGCCAGGGGGCTTTCTATCAGGTTTGCCTGATACGCCAGTTGTGCCCCTTTCTGGATCTGGACTCCCTACGCACGGTCACTCAAGCACTCATCACTTCTCATCTGGACTATTGTAATGCTCTCTACATGGGGCTCCCCTTGGGGTGCACCCGGAGGCTCCAACTGGTGCAGAATGCGGCCGCGCAGGGGATTATGGGAGCGACTGGGTGCTCCCATGTGACTCCTCTCCTGCGCGAGCTGCTCTGGCTTCCGATGGACTTCCGGGTGCGCTTCAAGGTGTTGGTGATCACCTTTAAAGCGCTACATGGCTTAGGGCCGGAATACTTACGGGACCATCTTCTGCCACCAATTGCCTCCCCCCAGCCAGTTCGCTCCCACAGAGAGGGCCTCCTCAGGGTGCCGTTGGCCAGACAATGTTGGCTGACCCCCGGGGGAGAGCTTTCTCTGTGGTGGCACTTACCCTCTGGAACAATTACCCCCAGAAATACGAGTGAACCCAGACCTCCGGACTTTTCATCGGGCTCTTAAAACCTAACCTAAACCTAACCTAAAAGCCGGGCTGTCCTGATTTTATGATGGGTTTTTAAAATTTGAAATTGGTTTTAAGTTGAAATGTTTTAAATTATGGGCCAAACTTATTTAATTATTTTAAATCTATTTTAACTTTTGTGTACAAATGTTTTACTTTGGCTGTTCACCGCCCTGAGTCCGAAAGGAGAAGGGTGGTATAGAAATCTGAGAAATAAAATAAATAAATAAATAAATAACAGAATTTCTGAGAGGACTGTCTGTTTCTCTCTATTCCATCTCATACCAAACCAAATCAAGGTAGAATCATTTTGAGTTTCTTTCTCATATCTCTTTCTTTCTTGGATTTATGTAATATTTTTTGAAAATTTTCTCCTCATAGTATGCTCATTCAATCCTCATTCCAAAGCCAGCTCTGTTTTCTGTCATTGTAGAATAGTAGCAACCATATGCAGTAGGCTAAAATTTTTGAAGATTTTTTCCAGAAATATCAGTAAGTAACATCCAGCAAGGTGTTCTTGTTAGGAGTTGGACTAGAATGAAGGAGGCACAGATTAAAGTCTAGCCTCAACTGTAGAAACTACTGGGAACTTTAGATCAGTCATTCTGATCTCAACAGAGGAGGAGGAGAGGAGGAGGAATTATTGCTGTTGATGATGTAAAATTAGAGCAGTCATGTGTATAATACTTTTAACTGAGGAAAAAAGGCAGGATCAAGTAAACAAAAAATAAATAGCATGTTGTGAAAATGGAGATTAATTTACAATTTCTAATATATTTTTCCAAAGTTCATTTATGTTAAGAAGAGCCAGTTTGGGCTAGTGGTTAAGGCATCAGGCTAGATACCAGAACATTGTAAGTTCTAGTCTTATGTTAGACAGCTGGGTGACTTCGGGTCAATTACTCTGTCGCTCTCTTAACCCAACTTACCTCACTGACTTATTACTTATTACTGTGTGGAAAATAGGAGGAGAAAGGAACATTAGGCATATTTGCAGACTTGATTTATGTATAAAAATAAGAACAGAATTAAAAAATATATTTAAAAAAGATATCTAAATGGGTATAAAATTCATATTTTTGTAATCATTTGTTGTAATATATTTAACTTTATATGTTCTTCTTTTATTGTTATGCTTATTTGTTTATTTAATGAAGGCAGCACATTACAAAATATAATTAATTCCAAAAATGATAGAAAATAATATTCCAATTTGTTGATTGATTGAGTAAAACTGAACTAGATCAGTTCATATTAAAATCCAAAACAATCTAGTGTTTTTTTTATCCTTATAAATAGTAAGTCAACAGGCAAGGAAGAAAAATGAGCTAGTGAAATGATTAATTACTATATTTTACCTAGTCTCTTGACTCTTTTTATATATAATAAATTTACTTCTTCATTCAGAAGAGACTTCAGCCCTGAGATAATTGATTTGAGTTGGGGCTGAAACTGAAATTATTCATGAAAGTGCTATTCACACTAAATTAATCAATGTACAAATAAATTCACTTCTCTCCAATCTCCTTTAAGTATGTATAGATTCAGTGATGATTGCAGTATGTTCCTGAACTAAAAATGGCACTTTCTAAATTCATTTCAGACCTGTCTCAGTTTGAATCTCTAAGTGAGAACAATCCCAAACTCCATTTGTTGGGAAAGATATAGTTTAATAGAGGTCAAGTGAATTGCTTGTAATGCAGTAATGCAAAGCCAGAACTGAGATTTGCACACCAAAACCACTAAATTCTCCTCCCCCCCACCTCTTGCCCACCAATCAAGTTCCTGAAAGATGTTTCTATAATCAGTCTGAGCTGGTATCCCTCATTCTTCCAGCTGGGTGATCTTGGAGTGGCATCTCGAGGCAGTTGTTACTTTCATTTGCCTTCAAGTATCCCCCTCCCTTCATTCCTCCCTCCCACAGTTCATGGCAGACTGTCACCACATAATAGCAAGGCACAAGGGAGCATAAGGTGGCAGCTGACAATACATTACTTCTGATTAGTAATTTTGTTGTTATTAACATTTACTGTTCATTTTTCTAACAAAACATACAAATGTTTAATAATTATGAGAATTAAAATTCAATTCAGAGACATTTGAAAAAGATATGGGACACTATGCTTATTCTCTGAAGTTGAGTCTGAACTTATAAAAATTCAGTGTTGTAGAAGCCATCAGAATTAAAGTCTCTTTACGTGGTGGTTGTTTAGATAATGGTCCCAGGAGATTCTCTGTTATGTTCTTAATTTTTTAATATTCCCAGAAAAAAAGAGCTATACTTTATGTAATTAGTGAGAAAAATATAACAGTAAAGCATTTATTGTGGTGGTTTAAGTCTTACCTTATCATAAATAACTTTAAATTTCCCTAAAGCAGCATGTAGGTAATGAACCATTATGGTATCCCATCTGTTGCTCATCAGGATTTGTAAATTTTTATAAAGGAAACATTCAGTGTTGGACCTCTGGCTATTAATGAGAACTTAATTGCCCCATGATGAAAGTAAACAACAATACGTTGTTTCACTATTTATATATGATATACACATTCTATGTCACAAAAATACCTATTCACAATTGAAGAAGTGAACAAATTACAAATGAAAAGCAGTTGGCATAGGAGCAAACATCTTTCAATATGCATTATGTCTGATCTTCCTCCCTCAGGAGAGGGAAGGAGCTGAAGACAGATCTGTGGAGAGAAAGAAGGGAAAATAAGATCATTTATTAAAAGAGATAAACAATTATTGTTACTTTTAAAGTAGTATAATCAGAATTCAGGTTTTGAGGAGGCAGTTGGAATAAAAACAATGGAACTATTGAACAATTTATTGATAAATTCACTGCCAATTATTATGTTTGCTGAAGTATCCCATACTCAGAGAAGTTTGATTTCCTATTCATATTATTGCTAATAGGTATTAGCAATATATTAATTCTATATTAATAGAATAGAATCATCTACCCAAATTATGCCTGTTTACATGGCTGATACCTATCTAATAAAATTATTGCTAAATTTCAAGGGCAAAAAAATTTATATTTCCTAAGGAGATTTGACTTGTTAAAATGTAATTAATCTACACTAATCTACACTTGCCAGTATGCATATCCAACATCTTTTAAAGATTTAGTAATTGGGGAATGCACATCTGTTTAATTTGTCTGAATTTCAGCTGTTAGTCATTTAAAGTACTTTTACAAAATAAGACAATTATGAATGGAAATTGCAACTAATGTTATAGTGTGAAAGACTCCTATTTAAGCCCCTGCTATCTGTCATTGCTTGCTTATTGGATACTATATTGCGTATTCTTAGTTTTCCATTACAATACTCTCCATAATTATTAATCATAAATGATGGAGAGCAGGGAGTCTAATATATTCCCTCAGTTCCTTTGTTGATGAAAATTCAACATTGCATCCTGCTCCAGGAATATCAAGGGAAAATATGTCCCCCTCATTCTAATGGATTTCTTATTTAAAAGCTCATATGGGCTTGGGGATGGGTTGATTTGTTTTTTACAAAGAAAAATGTTATTGTTCCCAACATGAGCTGGTGTTAAACTAAACTGGGACATTGTGCATTTACACTAACTAATGAGAAAAAAATATTATGAACTGAAAGATAGACACATACTTTTAAAAAAATCTGCATTCAATAAAGTCTCTGCATGGAGTTTATCCATTTTCCTTGTTGCTCTAGTTACCAATTCTGAAACAGTTACTTATTTCCAGGAGACCAACAGCTCATCAATTTCCTTCTGCTTCTTTCTTGCATGGAGGTCAATGCCTGCCTCCTCAGGGACTTGCAATGTGAATGTTTTTGATCTTTCAGGCCTTGAAAAGCAATGTGACCAAATGGATGATTGAGGGGATTTGACAGGTGTGCATCTGTATAATGTGGCTTCTCTGCCCCCTGACTTCTTTGCTCATCTGTTTCCTTTGTCTCTGAACATGCAGAGAAACAGCCAAAGGAGATTAAAGCTGCATTTTCAAGGTGTTGCCATTTTTTTGTGCAGGCATTAGTCAGGGGTGAAGGAGGAAGGAAACCACTAAGGTTTAGCTATAAAAGTAAAACACATGCTTAAATGCATTGCTATTTCTCTGACCTATGTGAAAAACTTCTCCCCGCTTTTTACTTTAAGCATAATGCAATTGCAGGAGAATATGCATCTAGTGGATTGCCCCCGGTTTGGACTGGTTCCCAAGAACTGGTAGTAAAACAGGTGGGAGGCCCTGCCCACTGCTTTGGATGTTGTCATCGGCAATCTGCGCATGCGCAGAAGCATCTGCATCTGTGCAGAAGCAAGGTGCGTGCACAGAAGCAAGGCGCATGCGCAGAAGCAAGGCGCGCATGCTCGCTTCTCTCACACGCACACGCAATTCCATTGCAAACTGGTAGTAAAGGTAAGTAGAACCCACCCTTGATCTGCAGCATATTTATTTTGCTTCTTTGGATTTACCACCGCAGTTTTTGTGGAGTATATGAACTCTTTAGCTGGCCAAAGGTTTTAGTGTCATAGTGCTCTTCAGATTGTAAGGCAATAAAAGAAATAGTAACAAAATATGCAGTCTCCAAAGTCAATGCATGTAAAAGTACCCACATATTGGTACAGATGGTTGTGATCAGAACTGATTCTGACATCCAGTTATAGGACAGCTGTCTGAGGAGCACATTCTGAATGTTAGGCAAGCGTTAATAAGATCTGTTAATAACAAGTTATATTTTTATTGGGAAAAAATGGAGAGAGGAGCTCCTGTTTGCTGAAGTCCCAAATAATTTTAGATTTATATTCCCTCAATTGAAAATGGGTGCTTAGTTGAAATTTAATGTGAAGGCTTCCAGATCCCCAGACTAACAGCCTATCTATCATATGGCTTCTAGGCCACAAATATAGCCTGTCTATTATTAACTGTGCAATTCTACTCAACACCCAGTTTGGATGGGCTTCATCCATTCATTTTAGTTTTTTTTAATTTACAGCTGAGAGATTTCAGTTATTTACAAACAAGGCACAACAAGGCAATGAGCACATCCATAAGGCATGAAGCCAGGCAATAGGCCATGCTCCAGTAACCTCTTTCCCTCAAGAAGCACACCAGGAGCCCATTTCCTTCTACACCAGGGTGTGTCTTGGAGTTATTAAAGTAATAATTGTACATCAGTTTACACCAAGGAAGCGTTAAACCCTTATGAAGAAAAAAAAATCTTACCTGAATTTTTCAGATCCTTTGGTATTAGTCTGATGAAATGGCGTAACAGATTAAGTTTTCAGTAGCAATTTATTCTGCTGGAATATGTTTCTGAGCAAAGAAATGATGATCAGGGACACCTAAACACAAAAGTACTTTACTATTTTAGTGACTTTCTTCATATTACTTTGGTGATTTATGGCTGAGCCTCTTCTTTCTCTATTGATACATACCAAGGCAGATCCACATAAGTAAAGCCACCCATAGGTTTCCTAAATGTGTTGATTTCAGTCACCAAATATTTATCAGTAAAATGTACTGCATGTCAGTCTTCTCTAATCTGATGTTTTCAAACATGTTGAATTATGACTCTCAAAGTAATTACCTTGTGTTAAGCGTTTGGGATTTACAGTTCAATTGTTCTGAGGTTATCAGATCAGGAAAATTATATGCTTAATATTGTCTCAAATACATTATTTTTCATCTCTGTAACACAGCCTACTTAAAAAAGCAAGCTCTCTGGGTGACATAGGATTCGTATGGATGTACTTGGTCAAAAGTTGATGTGTGTGACTATACTTGCTCATATACTTTAAAAGGGGAGTATTGAAGATCTTTATGTAATATTCCCACATCCAGCTCTAAGAATACCTTGTTGATAAACTTTTAAAGTAACAGCTGCACTCTTCTAAGCCTGACTTAGCAAGTAATGATTGAGTACGCATACTGACATCCAGTAATGAAAAGAATTATTTGGAAAAGTATATAAGATGATGATTCAAGGAGTTGGAAGAAACAGCTGTCCATAAGGAAAGCTTACAGTGTTTAGTAGTTTTTGATTAGAAATAAATTTAGTAATGACATGATAAAGGAATATCTATTGTATATGTTAGGCTTATCCTATTCTGCAAGAATTCAGATGATTGTTAGATGGTAGCATTAACTTAGTAATGTGTGTTGTATGGAGAAAATGGATTAAGGGCAGGTTTATCTTCAAGCTCTTAATGCTAATGAGTCAGCTGAATGGCAAAAGATTTCAAGTAGATAAAAGGAAATGTCTCCATGCAGCACATAGTAAATGATGGGCTTTATTGCTGAACAATATAGTGAATAGTTTTAAGAGGGAATTAGGAAAGTTAATGAAGAACTTGTGGGCTTCCTGAGGCATCTGGCTCTATTTTAAATACCCTGTTTCCTGAAAATAAGACAGGATCTTATTTTCTTTTGACTTTTCTATTTTTTTTCTCTTGGCCTTATTATCAAGGGGTCTTATCCTTAAATCTCGGCCCTGGAGCACCGACCAGCTGCTTCACCGGTGCCGCTCAGGCTGCTGCCTCCAGCAATCATGGCAGCTTTTTTGTTGCTTCCTGTGCAAACAGCACGAGGTGAGGAGGTGAGGCGGGGGGACAGAAGGGGGGAACATGCCCACACACACCTGTCATCCACACGGACATTTTTCTCCTCCTGGGCGGCAGCATCGTGAACATGCTGCTGCCACCCGGGAGGAGAAGAATGTCAGAAATGGGCTCTCTTGCAGCACCTACTTTCTCTCTTCTTCTCCCAAGTGGCAGCGGTGCATCCAGCTCAACAAAAAGGCCATTCCGCATGGATGGCAGGTGTTTGTGGGGTGCGTGGGGCATGTCCCCCCTCCCTTCCCCCCTCCAGCCTCAACTCCTCACATCGTGTTGTTTGCGCAGCAGCTGCACATGCATCTAAATATTGGGGGGGGGGTTATTTTCGAGGGGGTGCTTATTTTACTGCATGCGCTTGAAAGCCCAATTGGGCTTATTATCTGGACATGTTTTCATTTCAGGGAAACATGGTAATATTATCTAGATATCAGATATCTGAATATTTGGGGAAAAAGAACTCTGTAAGTAAACACAGAGAATAAGACAAAATAGCCCAGGGAGTTTAATTTGGTTCTACAATTCCCTGAAAATTTGAATTTTTTAACCATGTTTTATTTCTGTATTTGCATACAAATTCAGACATTATAAAATGTTTCTATATCCTCCTTTTAAGGATAAGATCTAGTTCAAAAGATTCCCTGGGCCTTGTTGCCACTTGGAGGAATTGAGTAAATATGTAAAAGTACAGTATTCTGCATATTTCTTTTTGCATATTTCTTTTTTTCATTTTTGCTTTCTCTGATTGGTATAGAATTCTTACTTACTGTGAAATGTTCAAGGCATTTGTTTTGTTTTCATTTTTCCTCTCCTTTATATCACTTAGCATATGGTTAAGAAAAAGACACTACTTTTGATATGCAAGCTTTTAAGCAGCGGCTCTATGAAATGCTCACAAGCCAGATTGATTTATGCTTTAGCTTTATGGATGATATCATGCAATTAACTCCAGATGGAATAATTGTAAGGAATGGCTGCCAAAGAACATTAGCAATAAAAGAACTTAGCCATGGCTTTTCACTCAATACTGTGATCATTTTTGTTTTGAGTTTGCATAGTTGGGTAGAAATGGAAGAACCGATCCTTTAGGGCAAATGATGGCTTTCTGTCAGCCAACCATTGGTGGAAAAATGACTGTTGGACCTTTACAACCCAAACATGAAAACAATCTTCATCTAAAGATAGCCAAAGGTGACTCAGACCAATTGCTACACTGAAGTTACTGGAATGAACTGACTTTGTTACAGAGGCATTTTGCAAAGACTATTGAGTAATATATTCTCCTTTCCAGTTGTTTTATCCAGATCTCAAGAATAAGATCCAGACCTATTTATCTGCCTTGAATACATTTTTATATAGTGATTTTGCCTTCAGAGTATATTAACCCATATGTTCTCTATTGCTTGTTGTTTCAGATTGCTATTCTTATGGTACACAATACAATGGATAAAGTGATCATATAATTTGATACCAATGAAGTTTATAAATCTACATATTGACAACTTTATTTGTTGGACTGGATGGAGATTAGGGTGCTTGCAGTTCTATCTGAAACCTCATTATTCCAATAGGAATTAAGTCTAATGCAACTCCTTAAATATAAATGTGACATCAATTATTCATAAGAAAAAAGCATACAGCTGATCCTATGCAAAGATACTATTCAGAGTGGCTTTCTTTACTTTCAGAAGTAAAGAGGCATGATCATATGTAGCCCAAACAGTGTAAATAGTAATGCATCTTTCATTTCCTTCCTTTACCCTAAGCAACAGTTCATTTCCCACCAACCTTATTTAGTTTTCTTCCATTCCTGTTTTTATTTTAAATCTATTTATCAGAATTCTACTTGAGTGTCACAAAGTCCAGTTTGTAATGCTACCTTCAAGAATTTCACAAGACACACAGCTTTGCAATTTCACATTGCTACTCTAATTTTAGCTAGTTTCCAGCAACGAAATTCTCACGGAAGGGATAAGTAGTTGCTGGTGTATTCCAGCTACCAACTACTGTTGTGTGGCAAAATTCACTCACTAGACAGATCCAAAGAGACAGGGTTTCCTTTGTGTGTAGCCCAGATGGATTATACTACGTATATGGCATTTGAAATGATTAGCAGCTTTCCATATTCTTTTAAAATTCATTCAGGATTTCATTAAACAGGGGTGTGAAACTTTCTTCATCTCAGATAGAACCTGGCTGGTTATTGTAGGTTTCCTGTTTTTCAGTTAAAAAGCTTTATTTTATCAACAGTGCAATTTGTGGTGTGAATTTTTAGCTTATCTTTATTTACAATGTACACATACTCTTCCAAAAAAATTGTTCAATGACAACCTTCAATTACCAAAACATTGTTCTGTCTCTGATTCTGCTCTGGTTCACTTTTTAAATAAGTTTAATATGTTCAGAAACTCAACAATTTTCAGCTATTGTACTGCTTAATTACAATACATAATTGTTCAGTAATGTGACTGTTGGAAAAATATAAGAGTTTGACTTCATAAAACAATTCTTAATTGTAATTTTAAGAGTCTTAACAAAGGTAGTATAATAGCAAATAGTGCAAGGGACAACCATAAGCCAATAATACTTTTTCATGGTCCCTAATGAAGCTTGATCAGCCATGATGGATTGTCTTAATAGTCTTTTACCTCAAACTGAATATGTTTCAGTCTGATTATAACAATTGTCTCCTGGCAGATATTTGGGATATCTCCATCTGTTTATCTTAGTTCAAAGCAGTGCTGTTTGGCAGGTTCTGAACCTCCCACCCTATTGTTATATTTATTGGTTCTACTTTTAAGGCAAAGCAGAGTTTAAGCTAATGATACTTATATTTAGAACCTTAGGATCACAGCCCTCTCAGCCTCTTTCCGCCCTTTTTCCAAATCATCCTGTTTGTTGCTTCTGCTGTTTTGGCTTCTTCTGTTCTTCTTTCTACTCTAAGTTGCAGGTTGCACTCTCCTGGTTTCAAGCCCAGTATTCCAGAATCAGCTTCCTCCCTCCCCTCCTCACTTTCTCTCTCCCCCCTTTGTGATAGTTCAATTACTTTTAAAAAGTAGTTTAAGATCTTTTTATTTGAGTAGGTAGTGTCTTCTTATCTCATCTTATTTTCATTCATGCTGGCAATTCTCAGTTTAACATCTGTTTTACATTAAGTATGATTTATGATTCTATGTATACTCCTCCACATCATAGTATGTTACTTTAAGTAAGCATGATTGTTCATGGCCCAGTTTAGCTGTAAATAGAAATCTTACTGGATTGGTTTTTAAGATGTAAATTACTTATAGTGGTTGAAATATTTATAATTATTGACCTTTTCTGACTTATTAGGTAGTATCATCATCAAGAACAACAATAACAACACATACATATAGCATGCCACCAAAATAATAACTTGCGAAAAAAGACTGTTAAAAAAAGAGGATATTCCCTCTGCCCAGCAGATAAAAATAACAACGTAATACATATTTTCTAGGAGATTAAGCCACAAGAGATAAGACTGCCAGAAACAAGGCATCATATCATGGTTAATGACTGAATTGCAGCATGAAATTATAATTCAATCATGTAACATTTTGTAAATGAAAATACATATTGCTGTATATACGTATCTACTGTATGTAGCATAATTGAAACAGTTATGCCAGGGCAGAACTTTGAGATAAAAAGCCCCAGGATGGTAAAATATACAAAGTTAATGTCAGAGTTTTGCAGAGTGACCAGTATTATGAGATAAACCCAGGAGCAAAACACAGCACACAGCACACAGAGCCTTTAGATAATTAACAGTGATTTATATACAACTAAATATATACAGACATGTAAGTAGTAGATACCTTATCATACAGCTACGGCCACAAAGAGAGCAATGAGATACACGGCGAGAGAGAGATACGCCCTCTAATGGTCACCTATATATAGACACCTCTTAAAAGGGTAGCAGTCTTGTGTGGACCCACCAGAGTCTTAACCCGGCGCTGCCAGATGCTGAATCATTCCCATTGAATCAGCTTTCAGTTGCCTCCACAACAGTTAAAATAAAAGAAAGAATTCACATTTTGATCTGACATTCAACCTATTAAGCCCAAATCTGATATTACTGAAGTGTATCACTACTTCTGAAATCTCCTCTTCACCATTGATTCAGCAAGATTTCTGGTCTGAATAGCCAATTATTGAACAGATGGATGGAGGAAAAATATACATTGATATTTAATAGATACACATGTTCACTATACTTAAGGTACATCTTTCTTCTCTCTATGAGGTTTAAATTCAGAGACCCAAACAATTAATGACCAAATTACTAATTTATAGAAACACATTTCTTAAATTTAAGATATTTCTTAAATCTCTCTTAACAGTAACAAATAATTCAAACATATTCTAGAAAGCCCCAAAAGGATAGTGTTTCCACAAGTGAAACCCTAAGGAACCAAAATATAAATCAAAATGACATTTTGTATTGTGGAAAATGATTTAATAGGATCTTAAGAAATTAATTTGCTCCCAAGCATGGAAAAACAGAATTCTGTTAGCCATGTGTTATGTAAGAAACAGTATAAAGAAACAGGCCAGCAGAAATAATGACATAAAGTTAATTGGTAAATATCCTTTTTAACTGTTTCTTCACATACACGGACACACAGGCACCTGTGATAAGATATAAATGTAAGAGTATACAAAATGTCAAGACTTTATATATTTAAATTTATAATCTGAAGTTGCACAATCAGAATTAATGAATTATAAAACATCTAGAATTACAGAGTTCTTTGGAGTGGGTTAACTTAAAAATGTAATGACTGTCTATCTTTATAAATGATTGAATTGTTAACAATTATTGTTAACAAAAGGTAGAGACAGCAATTTTTAAACTTTCTGCAAGTATGAATTACTAAATAAACATTCAGACATGTTGGGAACAGCTACTTAAACATGCCTTCTCTTTCATTTGCAAAAACATGGAATTTTCACATTTTGTTATCAATAAGGTAGCATGTTATTATTTAGGCTATCCATTCAAAAATGCAAAGATTACACTTGGGTATGCCTCCCAATTACACAAAATTTTGCATCAACATTTGCATAATTTTAGATTTTGAATTTTCTGAAGAGAAACTTTCAACAGCTTTTAAAATTGAAGTTATTATTCTGTTTCTCCCAATGAAATAATACATTGATTTATCACTTGTTCTTATCAAAATAAAGCAACATGCTGCATAATCTATTTTGCTTTATTTCATCAGCCTATAATTAAGATAATGCTACCCTTGCCTCAAAGTGTAACACACTTCATAGCCTGGAAAGCATGGCTCATATCTGAGAAAACAGAAATCGTTGTGTACAAAGCCATTAGAAAACATTTACTGAATCATTGTTTTCTAAGGACAACACATTTGTATTAATCTGCTTGGCTACCTTTCTTTATTATAGCATTGGAAGGATATAGGAATATGAAGCTCTGCATGGACTTATGACTGTTGTTCAAAGAACTACAGTGTGGAGCTTTGGCCAGGGGCTCTTTGCACAGCCATCTGGATTAGTAGGACTGCACACAGTCACTCATGGTTTAATCATTTCTTTATATGTGCTGCCTTGGAAGAACATCTGGAAGCTTCAAATGATTCAGAATACAACAGGTATAACTTATTTTGCCCATGTTATACCTTTGCTCAATGAGCTGTATAGGTTCCCAGTTGGTTTCCACATGGAATTCAAAGTGCCAGTTATTACTCTTAAAGCTGGATTAGGGGATTTAGAGATTGCTTCTATCCATTACGTTAGGTTGGGCAGCATGAGCATGTTCTGAGTCCTGTCAATTACAAGTTGTCATTTAATGGGCCCCAGGAAGTGTGCCTTTTCTGTACCTACAGCTGGTCCTTGAAACACCATACTGTCCAAGATTTGGCTGTTCGTGAGACTTCTAATCTTTAGGAAAGCACTAAAATCCTGGCTGTTTTCCCAGGGATAAGGGCCAGCAGAGTAATTGAGCCCACACTGCTGGTGAATGGTGTTTTCAGGGCCTGCCTTGTGCTAGTTGGCTGGGATGGGTATGTGTTTTTAAAAAGTTTATTGTATTTTTACACTTGGGTAACTTACAATGTCTAAACTGACACTTAAAACAGTTAAAAACAAGAAACAAAACGTGTCAGTCCAGACTAAAAACAACCATAGGAACAAAGCAGGGGTACCACAGAAACAGGAAGCCCGAGGCCTGAAAACAGTTAAATAGAGGTCACTAGATTTTTAAAACATACTGGCAATGTTCTATTCCTTGTAGCATGATTTAACATCCACAATGATTTAATTCAGTTGGAAATGAACATGTTATGGAAATTAAGACTCACAAGATTTCTGTGGGTGATCAGAGAGGTTTATTGCGCAAGGTTCAGTGCAACACAAGAAGCAAAGACTGAACAAAGGATTCTGAAGCAGTTATTCTTATACATACTTTTGACATCTTATGATTGGTTACAGTTCTGACAGCCCACAGCGACAATCCCCCCCCTTTGCTGCTATACCCTACAAGCTTCCCTCTTAAGAAGGACACAGGTGTTCTTGCAAACTTATTTAGGTTCCTGCCTAAGTTTCCTGCCGTTATGTCTGTGGTTACCTCTGCTTGGCTAGGTATGATATTTTGCTCATGATGGTGTTTCCTGAACTTTCCAGCTGAGGAAGGTTTGTTATTTCTGCGGTTTCACTTTTTGAACCTAGTACTAAAGAAAGGGGCACTTCAGAGATCCTCTAGGCTGACCCCAGTATTATATCACTTTTATATCCAATTTCATTATTCTATATTATTCTTCCACATTATTCCAGCAGGTTTTGGTCTTCCATATTATTTCCCCCCTTTGGAAGTTTTTCCATGCAGAAACTTCCACAGCTTCCCATCTCTTTCATGCTTTTCAGAAGGCAACCATTCTACACTTCTTAATAAGCAAGCAAGCATATAATATTTGACATAACATAATCAGTTCAGAATAAGATACATAGTAATGCAAAGGAAAGACAAGTAATACATATGATTTTCAATCTTATTCTCTGAAGTACTTTCTCTAATTACCCAGTTGAGAGTTGTACGTATGTTCTTGTATTGGAACCTTCATTTTCATCAAAGAGATCAAGGTCAATTTTACAGTCTATAAGGCTTTCCATCAAAATCAACTCATTTTTTTTCAACTCTTATCTCTTTCACTGCTCTCATAGCTAGTTGTCTGAACAAAGAATAAAAGCCAGGCCTATCACAACAGAAATAACATCTGTCTAATCCAGCCTGGCCCAGATAACAACACCTATTTTTGGGGAAGATGTACATGTTCCAGTCCAGTTTGTAGATAAACACAAATACACATTTTTCCCACATAAGAAGAAAACTCTATTTTTCCTTACATACCCACCTATATTCATGGAAAATGTATAGGCTCATTGGTTTTTCTCATTAGTCCAGACCCCTAAAGTCCCTGCCACTAACATGCCACCAGTGACTGCATGGGACTTTTAGTGTAGGGTCCTTTTGCTTATCTCTGAGAATAGTGCCTTCAAAAAGTTAACATTAGCTTGCATTTCCAAGGGGAAGTAGGACACACAAGCCTGTGTTGGATCTAATGGAGACATGTGGTGGTATTGAGAAAATGATCTTCTGTTGAAATAATAGTGGGCATAAGGAGAAATGCCATTACTTAGTTTTCACATCTATAAGTATCATTCTAGGGTCAAGTGTATGGACATTGATTTCCCATCAGGGATCCTACAGGAATATCTGGTTTCTGATGTCACTTTACACACAAGGAGGGTGACTCTAGGATTTCCATACCAACAGCTATAGGGCTAACAATGGGGAACGGTTTATTCCCAGCATTTTGAATGCATTATAAAAGTCTCCTTGCAATTTGACTACTGCTACTTTGGTTCACCATTTAATATCTTTCTCAAGGACTATTGTGGCCCTGGTCCTGACCCAAAGATCTGGCTCACTGGAACAGCATTGTAAGATGAAGGACTAGCAGACAAACACAAGCAGCATTTTTGGCTTAGGGTAGGGTCAGACTGATTAATTAGGCTTTGACTCAATTCCAGTATTCTTAACATGTAGTTCCCCTTTCTCAATTGTTACAGGGGCCCATTCTCCCTTTATTCTACCCCACTCTGTTCTGGGATTGTCAGACGCTTGTCTTTAGGTCTTGGGGTTAGCTTAGGTCCAGGGTACCGACCCCACCTATTTATGATACATCGTTAGCGGGAGTGGACCTGTTCCAAAGAGTTCACACCTTGTGACCCATTCTTGCCTTGTCTTTTGGGGTTCTCAACTTCCCCAGATTCTTTCTCACTTGGGCATTCTCACAACATTGGGAACTACTATTCAGTGTGTTATTACTCATTAGGTCCTTTGCCAATAATAGCCAAAGCCACAGAAAACTCATAATTGTCACAGAACCTATCCAATCACAATTTCCTTAATCTACAAAATCACCACATCAGGAAGAAGGTTAGGGTTATATGTGACTTGGAAAAGGTAATATTAGTCTTATGTATCTCACAGAACCACCTCTTATTTGTTAATACAATATCCACATTGTTAGAGTTAGAACAGCTCCACAGAGAGCTCACTCCCTGGCTTAAATATCTACAGGAGTTTCATACTGCTCTCTGTCACAGTCAATGATTTTAGATTCAGCACCTGTCTTTTTAAGGAAGGGGTGATTCCAGCATACTATATACAGCAAATCACAACTAATCACAATAACAGCAAGCATGCTTATTAAATAAGAGATAGTATACTTATGGCTATATATGTTGACTTGTCATTCCAAATCTTCAGCCGTATGTAGAGGGTCAGCTTCCGGTGTGACACCAGTAAGGCCTCTTCTGCC